TGCCAAGAAAAAGACACTTAAAGTAGTTTTCCTGCAGCAACTGAAGTTAATGGAGCCTGGAAGTTACAAATTATTCTGACATGGTTCCCTAAAGATTCTTGATGACTTACAAACCATGTGTAACACATATTTGATTTCTACTGAACATATGTGTGTCCGGCTGCTGGGTAAGTAAAAATTAGAAAGGTTGTAAGAGTTCCAAGTGTTAATGTTTGCTGAATTAGGTTTTTTCTTTCTATCTGCCCCACTTTTATGTAGTATTTATTTAGTTGGTGACGTTTGAAGACCTGCGATCTAAAAACCTGATATATCTTTATTGTGGTTTTGTTATTTGGAAGTGTGGATCAGGATCTGGCCGACATGTGGTGTCTAGTAACCTGCCTGCACACCGGGCATAGACACAACTATTCAAGAAAAAAACAGCACTAACCCATATGTCATCCACTAAGCCAGGAAACGTGTTTTGTGGATTCGATTATTGTAGATCTGTATCTGATCAATATCTTTGTGGGCTTACACATGATATATTCTTACGTATGAGTGTAAAGAACGATGAAGAGTTCTGTGAACAAGTGACTGTTCCCCAGAGAAAAGAAAATCTTTCTAATCAGCCCAGTGTTTTGTCACATGGCTGGTCTTACCCAGAGCTCTAGAGGCGGAGATCCAGCCTACTCAAGGCACTGAAATCGGATTGTTGGAAGGCGGAGAGAAATGATGTAAAATCACCAGAGGCAACATTCGACCAGATCTTGAGAGAGGAGGAGGAGGGAGGGGGGGGACTTGTTTCTCATGAATTAAAGTAGAGGAGGGATTTGGAGCAAGAAGACGTGAGTAATCCTGCTGTTCATCAGGAGATACCAGTATCTGGAGTCAACTGACATCACCCAGTGAAGCAGAAAGCTGAAAGCCTACACTTGTGTACTTTAGGATTCCTGCTGGGTAACATTTGTTCTCATCCACAGACAGGCCAGCAGCTGCAGAACAGCGCCCCCTGGATGAGCTGAGGTATCAGGGCCCCATGTGAGACCAGATGTGTTTGCAAAGTGTCAAAAAATGACTCTTCTAAGTTAGTGAATGCAGTGACTTCATAAAAATACGAGCTGTTGATCTGTATGAAATGTATCAGTAACGCTGTATGTTTATATATGAGCGGTATACAACAATAGTTTAGTAAATTACATATAAAGATCTAAGTGTTTATTAATGCATTTGTGAAGTATCCGATGTGAATGAATAATAAAAATAATAATAAATGATAATATAGTAAAGCACAGTTGTAGTAATATAAAATATGTCTGTGTAGCTGTGGCTGGATTTGTTGGGTCCTTTTGACCTCCAATGTACATGACAGCAATTTTGGTAAGTAAATTATCATTTAAGTAATTTAGAGGGTTTTGACTGTTGACCAAACCAAAAAAAGACAAATCTTATAAATCAATTGTTATTAAGCCAGATGTTTTGATCATTTTTATTTATTACTTTACAGTAATACTTCCTTACTTAATTTTTGTGTGTAATAAACCATTCATCGACGTTTTACATACTGTGTATAGATGCTAAATGCAGTAGTTAAAGTAAAGTGTTTAGACATTAAGGCAAACCAAAGAGATTTACATAAAATATAAAAGGCATCATGAAGTAAAAACTCTTGTATATTGGTCAAGATATTAATGAATGTTAAATTATTTACACTTTCTCTTGTTTACACTGCCACTAGGTGGCTAAACACATGTATTGTAGCAGGTCTAAGCATTTCTTTGTAAGATACTTCAACCCCTCTTAATTCCATTAGCTCAAACAGCAGAATCAGTCAAACAGGTTTATATCATTTATATCTTGTCAGGTTTATTGTCCTGTAAATTTCTTACGTGTGCAGATAATGTGTAAATGTGTAAATGAACTGTACAGTAAGTGCACTGGGTTCAGGAAACACATAAACCAGAAGTGTGAGAAAGTTACTCTTGGCAGAAAAGTGAACACTCAGTTTGATCTCTGTTTGCACAAAAAATGTACTGAAATTTCAGACATGAGTTTATTTTATAACAGTGATAATCTATTGAGTCTCAGCACTGGGGCGTGCACAGTTTCATCACGGATTCTGTGTCTCCTGCAGTGAGCACCAACCTGAGCCTGTTTACACGCCGGTCATCTGAAGGCAAACGCCTCAAGACTTCAGGATGAGAGAAAATATTTCCATAGGATCATAGGAGGAATGTTCTTCATGTATATAGCTCATTGAAGGGAAAAATACAAATATGTATGTAAAAACAATCAAATAAAATAGTAAATGAAAGCAAGTAAAAACCAGGAAAAAAGCATCAGTCAAGAATCAAGCAGTTTTAAACATGTATATTATGAGCAGTGAACTGAGGGCAGGTCAATACAAAGTCTGATGAGATCAATACGTATTGAGATGAGTACGTCTCACTTCATTTAGTCCAGTGTCGACTCTCAATTGCTCTCAATAGATTACAGTGCTGAGTTTGTTTTTAGTGCACAGTCCACACAGATGCAACTAATAAAACCAGGGGGCAACACATATCTATCCTTTATATTATATATATCTTATATATTATATTCTTTGCATTAAACCTTTCATTGACAGAGACTTTTGTTGACACGGTTCAGCAGATCAATGCTCCTGCACTGACCACAGACAGAGTAGGTAACTAAGCTCAGTGTTATTAACAGCCCTCTTCCCACCCACCATTCACCCACACTGGAACCTGATAAGTGCCACTCTCTCCGACTCCCAGTCCGATTCTTTCAGCCTGAAACAGCACAGACAACTGTGGCGTTAACAAATGGACGTGTTGGCTGCTCCTGCAGTCAGGAGTAAAGGATGGTACCTTTCTCTGATGGCACCCAACACAAAAGGACCAATGTTTGCCTGGTTGGATCCGTCCAGAATCTACTGCAACTCCCTGGTATGATGGAAAGCTTTAAGATTTCTAGTCTCTCAGCTCTGTTGATACTGTTGTTTCTGTCGTCACTCTTTTACATGGACTCAGTTTGTATAAAGCTCATTCATGTACATGCAGTGGCTGTGTCTTCTCATGCACACTTTGCATTTTGTGGGTTTGCTGTGTTTGATCCAGGCTCTTGCAGACTGTGTCTCAGACCTTCTCAGTCCATTCCACAGTGACACCATTGACCTGGTTGCTGGGATAGATGCAATGGGATTCATTCTTGGTGAGACAACGACAGCAAATCATTTTAAGAAGTTATATGTAAATGGTAGTTTAAGAGCAAGTCACAGTGTGTCACACTAACTTTATTTTAGGAGGCAGCTCAGGAAACCTAACCCTCAGTCCTGGACTTTAGCTGGTGGGGGTTGGGGGACAGTGTGTCTGTGGTGGTGGTTGTTTAAAGCAACAGACAGGGCCAGTAAAAACTTTAACTGTCCTCTAGAACACTGATGCAGCCTGCGTGAAAGTGTGATGTGTTTTTCAGGGGCATTTATAGCCAACACTCTTGGGAAAGGTTTCCTGGCCATTCGTAAAGCAGGACACTTGTGTGTGGCAACCCAGAACCAAACCTACTCCGACTACACAGGCAGAGAAAAGAATATGGAAATAAGACTGGATGTCATAAAACCAGGTTAATCTTCATTTCCTTTTTACCCTGTCACCATGGCACAATTTGTGATTGCAGTGATGTACTTAGATCATCATTAGGAACCCTGACAGTGTTGGTTTACATGTGGTAAGCAAAGCATGGTTGTATTTATATGTGAAACTTCAAATAATGTAAAATAAATTAACAAATTCAAATATATAAATCGATGATTTGAATATGAATTAGTTCCAAAGTCAACTAATGTCTTTTTATCCTTTCATCTATTATTCTATCGGTTATTTTCTCATTTACTTGGTTTATATTTTTCTATAAATTGTCAGAAAATACTGAACAATGTCTGTGACAACTTTCTACAGCCAAAGTGAATAATTCAAACAATGTTCAGGTCTGAGATGTTTGAAGGACCTTCATCACTCATAGGTTTAATCCATGTATTCCCTCCATATAGAGTCTATGATTCCCTCTCACATAGCACCTCCTGGTGTTGGTTAAAGAAAATTACACATACACAAAGTACATAACATAACTGCATAGTAATTACACCTACGCTCTTTAGACATTGAGGTATTAGTATTGATAATTGAGTAATGCAATAGAAAAACAATTAATCAGAAGTATACTTTTACTTTTACATTTTAAACCATGTACCTTTCAAGTGAAATTTCAAATGCTTGACTGTTGTATTGGTACTTTTGGTGGTTAGGTAAATTATTCCTGCATCATTTCCACATATGAAGTAAAAGATAAAGTACAAAGTATAAAGAGTATTAAGTACCCCTCAATGTTAATATTTACTATATCAAATTGCTTTGTATTCTGCACTAGATCGATTTTTTTGATAGTTTTTACTTACCCTAGTCGAGGGTTAAGGATGTCACACCTTGTACAGATTGTTAAGCGAGACAAATAAAATATGATTTGTTAACTTTACCCTTAAACATAAGTAGTACTAGTTGTTCTTCTCTCCGTCTTGCAGGGATGAGGGTGTTGTTAGTGGACCAATGGATCGAGACTGGCGGTACAATGAAAGCTGCCATTCAGCTAGTGGAGGGGCTTGGAGCCACTGTTTCAGGTCAGTCAACACGTTATTATTATTTTATGATACTTTAATGAATTAACACTAAACTGTGAACGTCTCGCTCTGTTTCCTGCAGGTGTAGTAGCCGTGGCTATAGAAAACACTGAAGGGGGCAAGTGGATTAAAGAAAATTACAAATTCTCTCACTGCATCCCTGAAGAGCTGCAGAGCCAAGTAGATCAGAAATATCTTGAATCTTTCAAAAACTTCAACAGCTGAACTAGTAAATCTAACTTTACATAAGACTGAGACATAGATGTTGTATTTGTTTTTTTAGTTGGAAAGTACCTGTTTATTATGATTATGTTTAGCTTTAATCAAAATACATGTTCTCTTGGATGATGATGACTTGATTTATTTTCCCTTTATTACATTTGTATGACATTTGATGAGGATTTTTTTAAGGAAAATGAATGATCAGACATTAACACAGTTTCTGATACAAAAATGAACATCGATATTCAGTCATTGATTTCATTGAAAACAAAAAGCAAAAATACGTATGAAGCATACGCTGCAGATAAAACTCTTCAAGGCTGCATCTGCATTACAAGAATGGTTCTCAATCTGAGGGTCGTGACCCTCACAAGGAGTCTACAGATAAATCTGCAGGGTCGAGAGATGAAAAGCAGAAAAAAAAACTGTTACAAAAATGTCCCAAATCTTTACTGTTGTCTTGGAATTGAAGCTCTAATCTACAGTTTCATAAAAGAGGCAAAGTACTGGTTTCATTAAAACATTTCTAAAGTAAACTACAGTATTATTATGAAACTACAGCAGCAATAGGATATATTTAATTCAAGCCCTATGTAAAGTTAGCGTCCACACATACAGCATGTCAAAATCAACCACAGTCATACTTTGGCATCTCAGCAGAACATTTATGTGTCACTCTGTAACACCACACTCACTCTGTAACACCACAAGAATCCACATCCCACGGAGGAAAAGTCGTGGCAGTCCAGGAAAAACTCCAACACGTCAGGAAGTGAGACTCCTACGTCCCACCTCCTCCTTTGACCACAGAAATCCCTCCCATGAGCTGGAGAGCAGCCACAGTTTTTTCAGTCAGACTTTAAAACTCCTGCTCCCTCCCTCACTGACAGCAGTTGGGCCCTTTCTTCTTGGATGTAGCATACAGACTGTTTGACGTGCTGTTGATTCCTGTAACAAATGCAGAGCCGGGCGTTCAACCACATGACGGATGTCCTGGTTTTCATGGTAACAGAGAGATTGTGTAGATACTCACTGACGACTTCTCCAATTTGTCTTGATCCACTTTTCTCTAACTCGGCCAGAACGTTGGTCTCAAATGCCAACGATGCAACTCGGAAAAAAAACTCTTTCACGTTTTCCCCTACAGCAGAAAAGAGAAAAAGTTCAGTAAGGGAATGTGGGAAAATCAATGGAGTGCAGATGGGGGATGAAACTTATATTATACATATATATATATATATTTATGATTAATGTACTGTATTTACATTAACAACAGGTAAGATTCAATGTTAATCTTATAAAACCGCACTAACTGGCATTAGCTTATGAATAAACCAGCTACAACAATAACTACATTTTTGTCTGACACCACTTCCCCCAACTAATGGTTTTCAAACAGTTGCTAGTTAAAAGATGGTGTCAGAGCAGGTGGAGCGTATTTACCTGTGAGTGATGAAACAGCCCAGTACTCTGCACTGATCTCTTGTGCAATTTTGAGAGCGTCTTGTTCAATCTGAGAATACTGAGCAGGAGACTGTCGGAGAAACCAGAGGTGACCAGGTTAAATATGGTGTAATCAAATCTTTATGCTAAAAGCTGCAAATAACCGTTATATTCATTACCAATCAATCTGATGAACTGTGGTCTATAAGAAGAAATGTCTGTTAGTGTCTTAAAGCCTTGACTGAGGCCTTCAGATTACTTTTATCTGAACAGGACACTGAAAATGTTTATGTTACATAAAACAAAAAAAACTCCTCACATTTATGAACCTGGAAAAGGGAACCTTTAGTGTATTTGCTTCAAAATACCAAAGGATTAATCAATTATCAAAATGATGATTTTCTCTCTATCAATTTAACAAGGAATGTCAGATCTACTTCTAATCTTAGACTGTAGCTACTAATATTCTTTTTTCACTATTGATCAAGAATTTATCTTGCCCATAACATGTCAGATGATAGAGGAAAATCTTCCCAAGTGTTTATTTCATTATACCAACTATTTACAAAATGCCCTGAAATATAATTCAATTATCCATTTTTGAACAAAAAATTCCAGCTCTACTAAAAAGGCAACAACACAGAAATTAGCTGCTTCAGTTAGACCAATAGTCAAAGAAGAAACAAGAACAAGAACTGCAGCTTGAATAAAAATATAGCATCACTGCTTTCTAGTACTGTCAGTAAACCCAGGTGACAGACACTGTAAACTTCAGTTACCTGCAATGTAACCAAACTACACCAATTAGTGCTGCGACAATAAGTCAATTTGACGGTTTTCTCAATTTTATATCATTGTAAACTCAATATATGTTTGATTTTTGAAACAATAAGATTCATTGATGTTACAGGGCTCTGGGAGATTGTGGGATTCCTGTTTGGATGATTACAAAACCCACATGATACAATCCGAACAAGTCTGTAAAGCTGAAGTCAAACAGACATTTTAGATAATTCAAGAAGAAAAACAATAAAGAACTGCTCTGATAATGAGCATGATTTTTGCTTCCCACCACTGTAACATACAGTGAGTAGGGTCTGGGATTATTTTGGCTCCGCTGCAGGATGAGAAACCACATTCCTGAGGTTTGAGCCTGGACACAAACGCTTGGTGCTGCTGGAAAAAATCCAAACTATTCACATTTGACTCCAGTGAAGACACAAGTAAAAAGTTCACAGGCGTTTAAAAGCAGTAAAAGACGTACGCTCAGGTCTTTCTTTGTGCCGACCAGGAACAGCTGGACGGCAGTGGGGTCGTTCTCTCTCAAGGCGTCTTCGAGCCACTGCCTGCGAACAAAAAAAAAAAAACACGAGGATGAAACCTCCAGCTGGGAACAAAAAAAACTGTAAGACAGCAAACAATCTGCTGGTGATGAATGTGTTTACCTGACGTGACCCAAAGAGGCGACATCGTTCACATCAAATGCGATGATCACAACTGGAGGAACAGAAAACCACGTGAAGGAAATGTTTACATTTTTACACAGCTTTTAGCTTGAATGTGCACATGAAAAGAGAAAAGTCTTTAGTATATTTCTTATTTTTCCGCTGCCATAAAACAGACGGATCCCTCACCCTGGGCTCCTCTGTAGTATGTGGAAGCAATGCACTTGAACCTCTCTTGGCCTGCAGTGTCCCACCTGAAATGGAAAGTGTGACCGGTGAGCAACAGTTCGTTGGTTTTAACAACTTTTGCTTTCTTTGTAATAAACGTGCAAGTTGAACTCACAGCTGGAGACTGAAAGGAACGCCCAGCACCTCGAACCGCTCCATCTCAAAGTCAACTCCGATCGTGGCCTTGTAGTTCTTATCGAACGTATCTTTGCAAAATCTGAAACAAGTGAAAGTGGATGAGTTCAGATAGTCCAGGTGAGGAGCATGGAGAGGAGCAATCACATTGACCTGAACATACAAGTTGATAAAAAAAAAAAAGTATTTAAAGTGTGGATATGAATTAGCAAGCAGACCTTGGATTTCTTTTTAAAGGGTCAGTTCACCCAAAATTACTGAACAATTACGATACACTATTTTCTGCCCTCAACAGGCAGGGTGGGATTCCTATAGAAGAGGTAGGGGTAAAAAAAATGGTTTCAAGTTTTTATTGTAAATGTATCTTTAATTCTTTTAGCCTAAAAACAAAACACACTATGATGTTTAAAATGTGAACAAATGAAATTGAACCTTGAGGTTAATTAAAACATGTCACTCTTAAATTTGAGCAAACCAGCCCTTTCAAAGAAAACATTCTATTTTCCATGTTCATAATTTCCTGGTGAACTGCTGCATCTATTTTAATCAAAGTGTTTGACCCGTGTGTGTATTTCAATTCAATTCAATTTTATTTGTATAGCACCAAATCATAATATACATTATCTCAAGGCACTTTACAAAGAAGGTCAAGACCTTAAAATCAAACCATTTCAGGACAGTGCTTCAATGAGGTTATTCATTTTCCAGAACTGCACTTGAACCTGCTTGTGGCTGTTTGAGCTTACCTATTAATCAGACAGGTTTTCCCCACAGCCAGGTCGCCCACAACAATGACCTTAGAGATTCTAAATCTACTGAGAAGAATAAAACAAGAGGCAACAAGTAAGTGACAGAAAACACCACATCCCATATCACTGTGTGGTCTGTGGACTCACCCCACCGTGCCGGTGCGCTGCTCCTGGCAGGCCGTCTTCACTTTATTGTTGAATTCATCTTTAGTGTGGAGGGCGGCTTCTCTCGTGAAATACTGCAGGAGAGGGAGAACACTTTGTGAAGCCGTCGACACTCCCACTGATGTGAGGCTGAAAGAGCGACTGATTTTACCTGAGGAAGCTGAGCGATGATCCGGTCCCTGCGAACAGGAGGAAGAACGCTCATGGTTGAAACTCGGACTGACATGAAGCCTCAGGTTGATTCAATGCAGGGGTTGGGGTGAGCTGGACGGAGAGAGAAGGAGAGCTGCATTAACAACCTGACGATCTAACTGGTAAAAACTGTTTCGATTATATTTAAAATGATGGGACATTTTTGGGCTTAATCATCAGGCCTGTTGCCTGGTGAAGAATAAAGTGCATCTAAAATCTCCACCATCCACCATCTTGATACCTTACTCTTCTGAAGGGACCCTGTTTCAGATTCTAGCTTTAAGACAGTCATTATTCTAGTATACATTGAGCTCAATTGTTTTCGATTCATCTGTTATGAAATTGCTTCCATTTTTTTCTCTGTGTTAAGTTAATACACAATAGAATTAGGCTGTCATTTAGGAAGCTGTTTGGAGCACACAATTTTACATTTCTTTTATGTTGGTGCCTCTGGAGATTTGTTCACCTAATTCTGAGTCATTGGTTGTAAAACTAAAGATTCAGTATGTAGAATTTAGTGATCTCTAGTGGTGAATTTGCATATTGCAGCTCCCTATTCAAACATAGAAGAGAATCAGTGGTAGCCTTCAGTTGTCAGGTACTTAGTAAGGTCCAGTCTGGACGACCAAAAAAACATGGCAGCCTCCGTAGAGAGGACCCGCTCCTTATGTAAATATAAAATATTTACATATAATTTTAGGGTGGAGATAACAGCAATTCTTATCATTTAGATGAAACACGTGAAAACATCACTAAGATGATTTAATATTATCTGACAGCCAGATCTGACACACTGAACCTTTAAAGGAATCACACTGGTTGGAAACACTATGGGACACACCTGGGAAGTTAATACCAGTGGACTTTTGGTTTCTTAGCCAATTGATTTGTGGTAAATCGTTTCATATGGGAGGATTCTGGATGCCTGAGGAAATAATGAAACATCCCCACGGGGGGATATTAGCTGTATAAAGACAGTCTGGTCCGGAGAGAAGCAGAGAGACGAGTCAAACTGACTGTAAATGAGGGAATGAGCACAGACAGACATCTGTGACCAGATTAGTGGATCTGATTTAATCCTATTGTTCCTCTGAGTTTCTGCTGGAGAACAAGTTAGATGTGCTCAGAGCCTCCGTGAAAAACTGAAACTGAACTTTAAACTGCAGCTAAAGTGGGTTTTAATCATTTTAACAGTGATCACACACACACACACACACACA